ACTGACTGGCACCAGGCCATGTGCAGGGCATTATGTTGAGATCAACCGCACTGAAAGTATTTACACTATGGAAATCATCGAATACTTCAAATTAGAGCTTGGTTTTCTAGAAAACCATCTTATCAGCATAATAATTGTTAAATAATAAATGCATCAATCACAATAACAAGATGCTTGAAATGATCGTGCGTGCGTGTGTGTGTGTGTGTGTGTGTGTGTGTGTGTGTGGTCTGTGCATATGAGTGCATATGGTATGAGGTTAGGGGTCAACTTTGAGTATCTTAGTCTATCATTCTTCACCTTAATTTTTGAGATACTGTCTCTCTAGTGAACCTGGAGTTTGCAGTTTCAGCTAGACTGGCTGGCCATCAAGCCCCTGGGATCTGCTTGTCTTCACCCCACACCACTGGAGTTTCAGGCACATACCACCATGCCTGGATTTGTGCATAGGTACTGGAGATGAGAACTTGAGGCCCCATGCTTACAGAGCAAGCACTTTTACCCACTGAGCCATCTCCCCAGGCCTACAACCAACAATGTTTTGTTTACTTTGCCTTGGTTTTTCTTTTAGGAAAGAAGGGCTCCTTTTGGCTCACAGTTTGAAGGTCCAGTCCATCATAGAGGAGAAGTCACAGTGGCAGGCAGGGACATGTAGAGCTGGCCACATGGCATACACAGTCAGGGAGCAGAGAGAGATGAATGTTGGTGCTCAGTTCTTTCCCCTTTTTACGCAGTGTGGGACCCTAAACTGTAGGATGGTATCACCCACATTTAGGGTGGGTGGGTCTACTCCTACCTCAATTAACTTAATCTAGAAACTCACTCCCAGACGTGGCCAGAGGTTTGTTTCCATGGTGATTCTAAATCCCATTCAAATCATGTAAGTCAGGGAGTAATACAAATACAAATCAGGTAAGTTGGGGGAAGACCTTGGCCTTCACCCCAAAGCTTCTTCCCTGCTCCCCACTAGGGCCAGTGAGAGCTGGAGCTTGGGATAGGAAGCCCCGTTTCACAAGACACAGAGTTCAGGGTGTGTCTGAAACACTCTCACTCAACTAATTGCCTTGCTTGTTTGATTCTCAGATATCACTGCATGCTGTGTTTTGAATGGCTGCATCTGACCTTGGGGCCTTCAGCCATCCCTCTGTGGGTTCAACTCTTTAGTCACCTGCAGACAAGACTTTTCCAAGGAGCTTACCCAGGACAGGCCTGTGGCAGAGGTAGTGTCTGCCCCCCTCCTAGAGTGCCTCAGTCACCCTAAAATGGAGTGAGAATGGGCCCAACTGGGACCCTCCAGACCTTTTGACCTTTTCCCTTTAAGGTCACTTGACCTTTTTCAAAGCATTCCCATGGTGGCAGCATTATTGCATATTCTAGAGACTTAGAAGTGGCAGACTTCTGTAGGTTGGCTGTCTGCTGTCAGTGTGGGCCAGCTGAATGGGCAAAATACCAGACTGACAACACCAAGTGTTGGCAAGGAGGGAGAGGAACTGGAATGCTCCTATCCTGTAGATGAGAGAAGTAAACACTATAACCATTTGGGAATCTAGAGAGCAAATGAAGCATACGCTTGTCAAGTGGCCCAACAATTGTGTTTCAAGGAATTTACCACTGTGCCTGACACAAACAGGAACTAGGATAAACTTAACAGCAATGATCACCGCTTCAAGCCCCATGTTCACTCCATTTCCTCAGGCTCTGGTGGGAGATTCAGGAGAGAAGCCCTGTCTCCATGGTAAACCACAGGAAAGCAGCCAGTGCCTGGGTGAAATGAGGACACAATTGTGACCAGGCGGTGTGGGCAGACTCTGAGTAGTGGACCTTATAGAGGTGTTGAGTGGAGAAGGAGGAGGAAGAGGATGGAGGATGAAGAAGAGGGAGGAGGAGGAAGAGGGAGGAGGAAGAACAAGAGGAAGAAGGAAGAGGAAGAGAAAGAGGAGCCAATGTTTTGTTTCATTTTTTTATTTATCTATTGATTTACGGGGGGGGGTATACCACAACACCATGTGTGGAGGTTAGAACTTGGTCTGTTCTCCCCTTCCACTATGGCGATTCCAGGGATCCAACTCAAGTTGTTGGATTTGGTGGTGAGTACTTCTGCCCCTCGAGCCATCCCAAGCACCTCAAATCAACTGTCTTATTTCATTTTATAAATGCAAGCAACTATAGTTAAAATCCGTGAAAAGATTTGCCCAAGTTGATAGTAGAACGAGAATTAGAAATTGGGTTTTCAAATACCTCTCCCTCTATTACAAAGACCAAATGCACTGCCAGGAAGGCTGCCTTAAGGCTGCTCTCGATGTGCTTGCTGGAGTTGCGAGATCAGTTTTCCAGTCTTTCCAGGGGCAAAACTCCTTCTAATGTCATGACCTCTACAGAGAATTATAGCTTTCTGTAAAGTACAGTATCTGCCTTCACTCTGCATCCTCTCAAAGAAGGGCTTCCAAAGGGAGGAATTAGCCTCATCTTCAATCTTTATCATAGAAACTATAGAATCAAGGATTTTGAGGATCCTGGAAGGGATTTCATATATAATCCAGCCCATGAATTAGTCTGGAACATTCCATGTTGCTTGGCAGAACAAGTGCATTAATGTTAACACTTCAAGCACCAAGATTCATAATCTTTGCTCTTGCTCTGTGATGAGGTTTTCTACAAGCCACATGTAGACATGCATGTATGGTTACCTTGAGAACAAGAAATTATACCATTCAGCTATATTATGTATCACTCCACTCAGAATTAGTGAAAATATGACCAGCTCAAAAATCATAATCTTTACCATTTTCCTTAATGCTCACTAGGTATAAACTTCAGACTTGAACTTTCTACACCCAAATATAGAATTGTGAGATCACTATGCACAGCGTAATTATTAATACCAGCGGAATATAGCACAATCCACTAGATAAATATTCCTAATTTTGTTTCAGCACAGAGGCAATTTTCACTTATAAATGGAAATTTATTCTCCATGCCTCTAGAAAGCTGAGTTTTGAAACTCTGATTATCTGGTTTTTCAGTTTGATCTTATGTCTTGTATTATGTCTTATGATCTTATATTCAAATCTTATGCTTCTAAAAACGCTGGGGGAGGAAAAGGAGGAGGAAAAGAATTCATGGTTATAAAGTCCCACCTCATACCTAGCGTAGCATCAAACAGTGTATTTCTTCTTCACATATGGACTTCAGAATTCTTGGTTCAAATAAACAAGACTATCATCATTGCACAACACTAAGTTGCCAGAACTGTGGACCTTGTTTGATTGAAAAAAGAAAAAAATCCTTGTGGTCAAATTTGAATTTGTGGGATTTAAGCAGTGAGATTGGGAAGACTTTGAACATCATCTAAGTCAGGCATTTTAAACTGAAATGAGATTATGAGGGTGAGTGGGACAGAGCAGGCAGGGAGAGAGAGTGAAGGCTGGAGGCTAGCACAGAGCTTTGCCAGTAGATAGGTATTTGTTATTTGAGCGCTGGGACAGCTTTCCTGGTGAAAACTGGGAAGACATTGATTCCAGAATGTTCTCCTTTAGAGACAATACTAAGCTAAACATCACTCCCAGTTAAAATTCAGACCTGTAAGAGAGAAAGTAGCAAACTATACTTGGTTGGTTATTAACATCTGAGCAGAGCAGGCTTGTATTTACAAGGAGCAGAAACCACCACATAGGTGAATGGTATTATATGAGCATGGTGATTGGTTTGATTCAACACTTTAGTATAACTTACTTTATACAATGTCTTTCTGGCATGATTTCCCACACAGTGTTGTAAGGAAGCACGTGAGGGCACCTGGGTCTAGGACACCATCAGACTCAAGTCCTCAGCAGCACTGGTGTGACCACCCATCACAGTCTGCTCAGCACTAACTGATTCCTAGGACTCAATGGCATTCAGGCCTAAAAAGAGAAAAATCCCAGTCAGTAAAGGATAAATACCTCACCCTAAGAAGCAGGGAAATCCCACTGGAAGACATGCTTTGTTTTCCAGAGCCTTCCAGGCAGTGGTATAGTAAGCAGCATAAACCTGCCCCTGCCTGGGTATCAGCAACAGGATAATGAGGCCAAGGCTAAAGGTTTGATTTCCCAGGAAACTTTGCTCCCTTCCACAATCAGAATCTGTACTGTCACTGATCCCAAAGGCCACAAGAAGAGAGATCATAACTGCTTTGGAACAACTTTTCCGCTCTGCTAGAAACATCAGTGGAGGACACTGATGATTTCCTGCACATAAGCATCAGTGGTTGAAGACTATAACACAAAGAAATTGATTTTCTGGATTTCCTGGGGTTTAGTACAAGGTCTATCTAGATAGTAACAGCAGTGCATGCTTAAACTGCTGCAGGACTTTCTTCCATGTAATTGTCTTCTCTTCCTGTGAGAAAGAGAGATAGACACCAAGCACAGTAGGGTGGGGACCACCTGAAGTCGCAGACTCAGCAAGCCAGAGCTGAACTCAAATTCCTGCTGCCTAATGTCTTTGCTGCGGTTGCTTTGTTAGAGGTCATGGCCATGTGTAACGCAGCAGAATCTACAGCCAGAGCATTGGGACTCCACTGACATTGCACTTATCCAGCAGAACTGCAAAAGCCTGCAGGTCCCAAGAACCAGGGTACATGCAGCCTTCCACCAGCATCCTGGATGGCTAAGATTATTGTGGGGCAGAGAGCACATCCACATTCTTCACCCTGCGGGTTAGGCTCAGGTGGTTAGCAAAGACATCCTGCTTTTAATGTCTGCCTGCCATCCGCCTCTCTTCCTCCGTGTTGTTTTTCTTTAACTGTTTATTTTTCCATAGTTTTCTACCTAAGTCCACAGATTCAGTGATGTTTACATCAGTAAACTGAAAGCTGAATTTCCCAAATCCATTTATTTTTCTTTTAGAGCAAATGTCAGTAGGATGAGAGTCATGCTGTGTCATACAGATATGTTACTCATTAACTATAAAAAAAAAATTGCCTGAGTTGGATCAGGGAGGCGCTTCCTGCAAGGCAGGAGCTGTGCCCAGCTGAACCACCCCGATTTTCATTTTATTTGTGAGCTTTAAAAATGAGCTATTGAGCTGACTTCTTGATGAGGTGACAGATAAGGGTACAATGCTGAAGAAAAGACAGTCATCCAGTGACAATGTGTTCCGGTTCGAGGCTCCCAGCAGCCCGAGGAAGGCTGGTGCCGACGCCCCGCACAGCTCTACCGACAGCCCGGGCTCGGTGTTTCTCAGGTGGGTACAACCTGGCCCTGGTCACCCAGACCACTTTGATTACCCAGCAGGTGGCTCTGGAAGAGCTCTGACTCCGTTCTCTGAAGGAGCACTGGGCCAGGGAGAGAGAACTTAAGAGGCCAGGCACCCTGCCCAGGGGACCTGAAGACTTGAAAGAAGGGACGGGAGATGAAAACACAATCATTGCCACCACTAAACAAATCTTCTTTGTCTTCTGTACTTTTTCCGTATTAGATAACTGACACTGGGCAGCTCCTAAATTCTTAACTTGTCAGGTTTTCAGGAAGTGGAGCCAGATACTCAAACCAAAACTTTGACCTCAGAAATCCCTGGGTTATTATTAAAGTATTATTAAGTAGCCGTTCTTAAAACACTAAAGCAATTGCCCTCTTTTTTGCCTCTGTACTTAACTACTAAAATACTGCTAGCCATGATGTGGTTCAACTATTTGCTGGCCGGTGACTTATGAGAGTCAGAGCACATTGATTTTTCATTGAAAATGTTATTAGCCACACCAACACCACTCTGACAAGGTGTACATATTTCTAATGAAAATTCAATTTCTTATTAATTTAGTCTCAATAATTCTCTAGTAATTTATAAAATGTAAATTTAAAGTAGAACTAGAAAATGAGTGCAAAAGTGCCTCATGGAATTTTGTGAACTTCCCAAGTAAAAGCAAAAGAAGAGAAATCCCCAGCCAGACTTCACTTTTGGATAACTTTTGGATAAATCATTCCTATAAAAGTGCTTTAAGTTATAGCTTTTAAAATTAAAGAATAAATTCCATTTTATTTAATGATATTCACAGATATCAGAGTATCAAGTTACATAGTTCTTTTTGTTTTTTTAGTTAAGTAGTCCTTTAAAAGAAACTTTAGAGATGAAGAATGTGTGTAGACTACTGGTAATAGATTTAGTTTCATGTTAGCTTAATTTTTCTACTGGTCCTTTGTGGTTGGCTGAGCAAGAGCAGGATTTGTGTGACTGAAAAATATAAAATCCTTATTTCCCTATTTGTTGGGTCTTAAAGTGTCTCTCAAATGCTTTGTCTGCTTAACCTGTCTGTTAAATAGACTGTCATGCAAGCTCTTCTTTGGAGTATAAAAAGAAAAAGACAGTGCATCAGCAAACGAATATAAATTAAAAGTTATAATTTAAGTAAATTTAATAAACATAACTTTCAAAATGATGAATAAATTAATAGAATAAAAAGAAGAAAGGAAAGGGAATGAAGGGGAAGAGAAGAGAAGATAGAAAAGATACAAAAGAAAAGAGAAAAAAAGAAAAAAGAAAAGAAAGAGGGGACTGGAGAGGTGACTTAACAGTGAGGCACACTTGTGTTTTTCTGAAGGACTCGAGTTCAGTTCCCAGCCCCCATGTCAGGTGGCTCGCAATCACCAGCTCCAGGGAAACTTTTCCAGTATCTGCAAGCCCTGCATTCATATGCACACCATCCCAACATACATATACACATAATTAAAAAAAATAAAAGACTTCACCAACATAAATGCTCACATATTTCCAAAAGAACCCAAGCCTATGTCACCCACATATTCCAGTTTTCACCACCAACTCTCCACCTCAGCATTTATAAGTGCTAGTTTCAAATATGTATTGGAAACAACTTAAAAAACACAGAATATCTCCAAAATAGTATAGGCATTGAGAAACTTTTAATCTAGTCAAAAGATTTTCATGCTTTGTATGTAAAATCACTGAAAATATTTTGAACATTCAGGCACACATTAGTTAAATTTTTCAGATCAAAAGTAAGAACAAACAAGCACACCCCTCTATGTTCTAAATATGTTAGGAATTTATGTGGTGGAGGCTGTTTGGTATCCCATTATCCTTCCCATGAACTTAGCTGAGAAGGTGTACTCTCAGAACAACTACCTACTTTAAATAGAAGCAGATAGAGTTCATGCAGTATTTTTATTCAAGCGTGTAATTCGACAAGAGTTTATTGAACAACTGGTGTATGCTAGGCTCTGTGGGAGGCACAGGGTAAAGTTACAGTCATGAGCAAGAGAAAGATTGTCCCTGCCTTCATGAAGATCATGTTCAATGTCAAAGGCCTGCAATAAAGAATAATACAGGTAGATGCATAATACATATATAAATGCATAATTTAAAAACCAATATTTGTTATAGGAAACAAGCCAAGGCTGAGATGGAAAATAAGATAGGAAACTGGCTTAACTGGGATGGTAAGAAAAGGGTTCCCAAAGAAAGGTATACTGAACCCAACTTCAGTGATGGAAAGAGTCAGTATTGAACAGTGTAAGAAAAAGTGTGTTGCTCTGAGGTCAGGGAGATCTTGAACCTTGAGAATCCTGGAGAGAAAGGCACCTGATGAGGTCAGAAATGGATGATGAAAGTTAGCTTTCTTTACCAAGTATGACAGGAGGCATTGAGAGAGAACAAGAGTGTCATGATGTGAGTTCACTTTAGATGAGCACTCAGGCCTCCCTGTGCGTTCCTTCCACTATCTTTGCTCATGCAAGAAAAGCTACATTGAGCTCCTGTCTACTGACATGCTAGGTTTAGCAGCTCTGAAGTATGTACCTAAAAGAGAGGTTGCTCATCAGATATCAAGGATACTATTCACTTCCCCCACTAATGTCACTGTTTTCCAAACTGCTGTGTCATTTACCGATCACCAGCAGTGGTTCTGGGCCTCAGCAGTGTTTGAATTGTCTGCCTTTTAATTTTTTTCCAATCTGGATGATAGGAAATGTTATCTTGATGTAGCTTTAATGTGTATGTCTCATTGATAACAATAGGAGCATCATTTCAACATGGCTCAGTCATGTTTATTCTCCTCCACTGGGTAGGAAGGGTCGCTATCCTTTTCATTCTGTTTGACGGTTTTTTAAATACTCCAGGAAGTGATGTTTTTTTATTAGTTACAGGTGTTGTAACATTTTTATACCATATGAATTTGTCTTTTCATACTTTCTACAGCTAATACCTCATTTTTAATATATTAATCATTTTCTTTAAGGAATGCACTCATTAAATCTTTCCCTGCTCTGATGTCATAAAAATGTTCTTACATATTTTCTTCTAAAAGTGTTTTTCCTTTTGAACTAGGGTCCTTCCTATATATGGAATTTCTCTTTGTTTCTGGTGGTTAATCAAAACAATTATACTTTGCATACAGATAATGAATTGTCCTACATAATTTATTGAACAGCCTTACCTTTTCCCCTAATCTGCAGCATCAGTCCTGTCATATATCATGTTAATTTTTTTAAAGGACATTCTTTTTTTATATTTTATTTATTATTTTTATTATTTTATGTGTATGAGTATATTGCCTGCATGTAGGTGAGCACACCGGTGTCATGCAATGCCGCGGAGGTCAGAAGAGGGCTTCAGATTCCCCTGGAACTGGAGTTAAGGACAGTTCATAGCCACCATGTGGGTGCTGGGAATCAAACCCAGGTCCTCTGTGAGAATAATCAGGACTCTTCACCACTAAGCCATCTCTCCAGCCCCTATCATGTTAATTTTTATCATGTTGTAATAAAAAAAAATCTCATAAAATAAGTCTGCTTACTAAGTTAAAAGTACAGAGCTCTCAACTATTTGTTCTTCTGTTTAAATTCCAGGATTGACTCATCATGCAAACATATTTATTTTATAACTAAAATATCATTGACCAATTGCTCAGTTTAAGGAAATTTGGCATTTTCACAGCACAAATAGACCTATTAGTAGACATGATGCATCTCTCTACTTGATACAGTCTTTAATAACTTTCAAAACTTCTAGAATATTATATATAAAGATCTTACACATCATTCATTAAATGTATTCCTAAGTGCTCTATACCTGTGTTGCTAATTGTAAAGACACTTTTATTGCAATTATTTCGTTAATGTTGTAGAATACTTTATTTGCGTTTCTAAACTGATTCGGGTACTTCTGCATGTGCATGTGTTTGGTGTGCATGCATGTATGTATTTGTGTTTGCATGTGTGTGGGCATAACTTTAAATTGATCTTATATTCAGCATATTTTCTAAATCTCTTTTGTTAATTTTGATAACGTATAGACTCTAAGATGTTTCCTTTGTAAATAATGATATCATGTGAAATATTAAAATTTTTATTTTTATCCTTCTTTTGTGTGTATGTGTATGTGTGGTATGTGGTGTAGCATATGTGTGTGCAGGTTGCATGGAAGCAGAGGCCAAAGGAGGACATTGAGTCTCCTGCCCTAACGCTTCACCTTATTCCCTTGAGACAGGGTCTGTCACCTGTCATGAACCTGGAGTTAGGCCAGCAGCCAGCAAACCCCAGTGATCCTCCTGTCTTGGTTCCTCGTGGTACTGGGGTACAGGCACTTGTGGCCATCCCTGGCTTTCTACATGGTGTTGGGGATTCAAGCAGGATCTTGGACAGCTGTGTAAAAAATATAAATCGCTGCAACTTTATGGATTGTTGACTGGGAAAAGCTTTGACAAATCAGTAGTTGCATAACTTAATCATTCAGCGAATAGAAAACCAAGAATTGCTATTGCATTGAGTGGCTTTGGGAAATTCATTGTGCCAACCAGCCATTAGGCCAAGATGAAAGTTAATCAATGAAATGAGTGCAGAAGGCACACTGTGGGCGTTAGGGGCACACGCCATGGGCTTTAGGGACACACACCAGGCTCATGATGGCAATAAAACAAGACAAAGAGGAGGAAGAACTGTGCTGGAATGCAGGCAAGGAGGACCAACCAAGCCTGAGGACTCCTTTCCAGCTCGGATTTGGGGACCATTCCAAAACATCAACAATGACTTTGGAGGGCAGTGCAGCCCTGCAGTGATCTGGGCAAAGCTCCTTCCACTCCTCCACTCTATCAGCTGCCACAGTGGGTAGAAGAAGGGATGTTTGCCTTCCTCCTCCTAGCGCTCCCCTCTCCCAGAGCTCTGCTCTTGCTTAGCCAAGCATACCCCTGCTATTGAGCAAAGAACAGGAGCACTCTCCAGCACCTGAAG